CATTGTTTCAGACGATTGCAGAAAACAATCCTTCTTCAATTTTAATGTGTATTGATAAACTTAAGCAGCTTATTGCAGCGGATTATATGCAGTTAAAGAAAATTTAAATTTAATAAATTACCAATAATAAATACTGAAACAATGTTACGTTGATTGTTGTAAAAGACTAGTGGGAAATATATTTCTATCGATAAAAATATTTAATGCTTTTTTTCACCAAACTAGAGATTCTCAATTTAACTTTTTCTCGAACCTATATACCTATAATTTACAACTTGTTAACTCAATTATTAACTAGTGAATTATCGTGCAAAAATTGCTCTGATAATGATACTTTGTGAAGAATATAGTTCTAGAAAGTACTTCATTTTATATTCTAGGAACTCCATCGCGCCACCTACATTCTTGAGAACTATTTTCATGCATGAATGTAATGTGCGTATATCACTAACATATTCAAACAACTTTAAACTCGATAAATTTTTGAACTTTATACATCTTCCTTAAAGTAACTAAAAATTTGGAATTTATAATCTTTTAAATCTCTTTACATTTAAACAATGAACTTGAATATGCAATAACTGTTACAATTTAATGCTCAATTACAAACTATGTAACAAACTATGTAAAGTTAAAAGTTCTTCAAAGATACTATAACATAGTAACAAATAATTGATTACAAAATTGATACTGTTATAACATTTTTAGAATTATTGACATTTAACAGTCAGAATTTTTACATTTTATTCTAAATAAATTTTATAATCTCGTTATATCTCTAAATATTTCGCGATTTTTTTTTAAATTCTGACCTTTTTTTGTAATATTCAAATAATTTTCCTTTAGATAAGGAAAATTAAAATAATTGTTTCTCTATAAAATGACTAATTTCAATTTAACTAATAAAAATATTATTGATACTCTTCTAAAATACAAAAATGTGATTATTTTAACTAAAACAACAATAAATCAAGTGGAAAAACTCTGATTTACAATCCATACATTACATTTTACATATTACATTACATAGATTGATAACTATTGCTTCAAACAATAATTATTATTCTAACTTTTATTCTTCTAACTTCTAACAAATATTTTTAAAAATACTCTCTTACAACATTTTTTACAAAGTTTGATAAATTGAAAATTACTCCATTACTCTAAAGCAATAATTATATTTAATTTTAACTAAAAATAATCAAATATATTCCCTAAAAAAAAAAAATATTTCATAATCTTCTTATCAATTTACAATCGACAGATTGAGAACCACTGCTTCATCGCAGACCCTATTAACAAAATCTTATTGGTGGGGAGATATCTCTTTTTGAATCCCTTCAACTTCTCTAATAGCTCATTCATGGCATCAATGAACGATCATGAATGTTCCACTGTTCAGCCATATCACCCAAAGAAGTTAAAGCTACGATCCACAAACATAATCATAATCACAGCCATAGAACTTCATCTACGACCCATCCCTCGTTCCCATTATGCGAGCATAAACGCAATGACTGGATCAGCATTGACCGCGGCCAACTAAGGTGTATTCATGCCGATATCGGTTTGGCTAATTTGCCGTATGTTAACCACGCGCGCATTCATTGAATTCGCGAAAACCATAATGCACCAAACGATCTCTGCCCGTCGATCGAGCCGCCCACGCGTTATTGCGATTCGATCTGTCTCGAGCACGCCATCTCTACAAATACGATAAGTAATCGAGTTACGTAATCGATTCGTCCAAAATATGTGCATTTGCGAGAGAAATATCTAGGTCACCGATTTTGATTTGATTAAATTTAACGTGTCGTTTACCGTTTACACATGTGTAATAACAGAGGTAAGGTTTTTTTTTGTATGAAACAAGCTACATAAATGTTTTTTCTAGGTTCCAGTAGTGAGAAGTATTTCGCGCGCGATAAATTATGAATACGAATTACGAAAGATATTTTTATTCAAATTTCATGTTTTTTTAATTAATTATTAATTTTAAGATTATTATATATATTATATATAGATACTTTTCTTTCTTGCAATTGAAATTAATCTTTTAATACACACATGTAATTGAAACATGTAAATTTAATACAAGTATAATTTAATTTAATTACAAATACATATAATATGATTAAAATTGTATTATTTTTTTTTATTTTTTAAATTATTTTTTAATTATAATTTTTTAAATTTAGAATAGAATAAAAAATATTATAATTATTAAAACAATTATTTATCTGCAATCATTTATTATTCTTAAATAATTTTGATTTTACTTATCAATAATTTATATTCCTATAATTTCTATTAAAAATTATACATTTTTTAATAGAAATTGCAATATGAAACATTCTTTGTACTTTTACGGCTAAAAAATATACAGTTTCATTCTAAAAGGTACATATACAAAGTTACTACGAAAAGATTACATGTTCCAACTTATTTCAATCAATGAATCGTATACTATCATGATACTAACATTGAATACCTAAGCAAAAGTAACAAAAACCTACCAAAGTATTTTGTTATCTTAACTTTTATACATAAAAATTATAGATAGAATATAATTTACAAAGAATAAGAGTAATTTGTACATATTTATGACCATCTAAATAGAGAAAAAAATTTGAAAACGGATGTTAATTACCCAATTGAATTTACGTGTGTACTTAGTATGAAATCTTAAAATGTTTATGAACAGCCATAAAAAACAAACGATCCGGAAAATCGAGAAAAGCGATACTATTTTACGATAATGCCAGACCACATTCCGCTACTATAATATAAAAATTGTAAAGTGTCAGGAATATCCAACTTATAATCTAGATTATAAGTATATAAATTAAACTGATTTTCATGTATTAAGTTGAAGAAGATATATGCTCTTATTCGTGTCAAGATAATATTAAAAAATGTAATATACGTAAAAAGACTATTAAAAAATAATAAAATCTTTTTACTAATTATTGTTTTGTATAAATCATTGAATTTTAAGCAAACTATTTTTATTATATTTGTTTTTGTTTCATTTCCTATCCGATAAATTATAATTATATCAAATCAGATGCAAGTTTCTCTGAATTTTTTTTCTAACTCATCAAAAATGAAATTCAATGAAGAACAGATTGTTACTTTTTTAATTTTGATAAGTCTTACTCTAGAACGATTGTGAAAAACTAATGTACGAAATCAGCATATATACTAATATTTATGAACCGTACGAAAAACATTTCAACATGGATAATTTATCAGAATATGATCATAAATTTTATAAAATTTATATATTGATTCCTGTTTTATGTTTTAAAAAATATTTATATTTTAAGTATTTATGTTGAAAATTTATATTTTTAGAAAAAATTTTTATTTAAAAAAATTAATCAGTCAATTTATGTTAATAAAAAGAATTTCATTTATTTTTCTCCTTTATAAGAGAAAAAATGTAATTTATTTATTATTTTATTCCTCATGTATTTAGATAGTCTGTTTTAGCCTGTAAGATTCTGTGTATTTATCCGAGATGAAGACATAGTATAAACGTATACAATATATGTATATCAACAGCTAATAATTCATAGTGCTCTGGAACGCGTCTCTAGAGAAGCGATAAATAATAAATTGTTAAGGCGATCAGTGAGGTATATTATCCAGACAGATCCTATAACCGACATAACAAGTATCATATTACTTCTCGCGATAAATTATAATATAGTTACATTTTCTTAGAAAATTTTTCAATCACAAGCGATAATTAATAATAATAACGAGCAAACGAAACGTGATAAGTTAATTTTTATTGTTATAATTATTATTTAACTTTAGATAAAAGATGAAATTTTTAATGATGATTCAGTCATAAAAAATTTCATCATAAAAAATTAATATAATAAATAATAAAAAAAAAGAATCGAAAATAGTTTTTAAATTCACGAAGTTCTACAAAAAAGAATATCTAATTGTCAAAATATCTAATGTTACGATACTACTAATATTTCTAAAATATTCAAAGAGTTGACATGAATATATTTTCACATCATAACCAAATGGATAAGATTTGAATAATACCAAACTGATTGAATTTCAAAGCTTTCATATAAAAGATGAAAAGTATATGATATAGATTTATGAAATATTTCGTCGCATTTATTTCACGTGTATTTTATTTAAATCAAGATCATAAACGATCAAGCAAAATAAATCGAATGAATCGAAATTTTTCATTTACAGAAGATCAAAATCCATCTCATTAAAATGGATTATAAAGTGTTGAGCAACAAGTATTCGCACTATCGTGAAAAAGCTCATACCTAGATACTTGAAGATTCGTGTCAAGAACTAAAGAGACGATAACTGAGCAGAACCTGACTTCAACATATCTCGTGATACCATCAACAGGAACAATCTTTATATTCCAATGTATTCAAAACGAAAGTATGCATTATATACATTGAAATTCTAGAATTGTCTTCTTCTCATTCCATAAATAAAAAAATAACTTGAAATCCTAAGGATATATCATATTATATAAGTAGATAACAAATATATTCAACGATATGGAATGAAAATATCAAACGTATATATTATACTTTCATCAATGTTCGGAGATATAAATCTCGAAGAATTTTTTTCTCGTTTTCCCGTCATCTGATACTAAATGGATTATACAAATTGACATTTTCTAATTTTTGTTGACAAAAACTCGATAATTCGACAATTTTTAACCGCATAAAAAAGC